AGCACTACGGTATCAACACTAATGGAACACTGCATACTAGGAAAACATGTTACGAGACTGGGTCTGCCTCTATAATGACTTTTATGAGAGTTGGGATCTGCGGGTGAGGAGAAAACTGTACTCCTCCGCATGTGTCAGTGTTTATTATTGACAAGCAGAAGATTTTAAATATTTGGGATCACTTTTCTCACCGACTGAAAAAAATAATAACTTGGACAAGTTTATAGATTTGTCAGTTTGTTTCACTTTCACTTGAATGAGAGAATTGTGCCTTTCAGCGTTGTCAATGGTATTATGGCAGACCCTTATTTAAGATCATCCTGCAAAATAAGAGACTTAGACAAGTTTATAAACTTGTCAGGTTGGTACAATTATTGCCCGTGATATAAAAACGAGCCATAATTTGAACTCAAGTGTGCTTTGCGTATAAGGTCATGATATCAATCTAACCTAACTTAAGCAAATATTCTTAAATAAATGCAGATTTCTAATCCGATCTGATAATAAGTGCTAATAAGGTTTTTTCGCTACTCAAATGCAACCCTGCAACCACTCGTTCACTTCCATGAGCTTCACAATTTATATATCCTTTTGCAGGCTTTAGATTTGTGTACACGGTAAAGATATTATAAAAAAGTAATATAATTTATAAATTTCCATTTCAATTATAATTAGAAAAAAATTATTTAAATAAATAAAAATTTTAAATGAATTTTTAGTGCAAGCAATCAAATAATTATATACTTTTAAACAATTACTGAACATTTCTTTGTATTCAAATATTTATAAAAGAGAATGTGAGTTTGTGTGTATGTTTGTATGTGAGTGTGTGTGTTTGCGACATGCTTAAAAGCTTAATTTTTGTTATCATTAATATTAATCCTAAAGCCTTTTTTTGTCTTGGCCATTGTGCAATTGAAAACAAAAACAAATTGCTTGCTCAAGGTAACGAGACTAATAACAATAAAAACAAAATGGATTTGCTTTAAAACTTAACTAACAAAAAAAAAGCAAAAACAAAAATGTACACAACAAGAACAACTATAACAAAAAATCAAAACTTTAAAGGCCTCTACACTAAACTTTAGTTAAAGCAATTGCAACAACAACAACAAATGCCACAACAACACAATTCCTCATCAGAAGCGCTGAAATTACACCGACCACCCTACCCACTCTTTTTCCCTTTAGTAACTTATTAACTATTTTAAAATAAGTAGAATCAAAACGAAAAAAAATCAAATTTCAGAAAAAAAGCAATGCAAAAAAAAAAAAACAACAACAGCAAATGTTAGAAAATAAAAGATCTGTATGTGCTTTTTCTGCGGTTCCACTTTTATTTTTTAATGGTCGTTAGACACGTACAAACGTTTCATTTAACTAACGAAAAACTATGAGCTTACATATTATCTTAATTTATGTTCTACAATGTATTTGTGTGTAAGTCTATGTGTATGTGTTTGTGTGCTTGGGCTTGGGCTTGTGCATTAGCAAGTTGCTTTTCGTGAAAAAAATTGTTATATGTGCAGGGAAGGCACAAGAGCAGTAGCGGCAGCAGCAATAGGAGCAGAAATAGTAAAAACAACAACAATAAACACAACAACTGTAACAACTAAAATAAAAACAACAACATCAGTTGTTGAAAAGATTTTTGAAAATTAATGCTTTTTTTAGTTGAAATGTTAGAGCAAAAAAACAAAAAAGTATTGGAAAAAATGTAGAAAATATTGAAAGAAAAAACGGAAACTCAATAATTGCATACAATATTTTTTTTAGTGTAGTTAAATAACGAATTAAAGATAAAATGACTTATAAATCACAGGCAAGCTTTTAATGAAATTTCGGTAAAATCACTTAGAGGTATTTAGCCCAATCTCGGTATTCAGATCTTACTCAATATTTGAACCGGTCTCGATATTCTATTCTTACTCGGTATTCAAACCCAACTCGATATTCAGAGCGAACTCAGTACTCAAATCGAATTTAAACTAAACTCCGTATTCAAACCTAACTCGGTAATCGTACCGGACTCGGTATTCGTACTGAACTCAGTATTCAAATCAAACTCTATATTTAGACCGCACTAGGAATTCAATTCACTTTTACGAGTATTTCCTTTTTGTTACATTACCGAATACCGAAATATCGAATTACTTATTTACTTGATGTAAGTACAGACGTGAGTCGTAATTGGCCACGTCCATTATACTTCGCCAACTAGTCCGATCAGTAGCTTGATGTCGCCATTTAGTCGTACTAAGTGCTTTTATATCGTTGGTCAGAAGTCCTCTACCGCGTTTTTCATTAAGGGGTATCGAATCAAACACCTTTCTAGCTAAAAAAACAACTTCTTCCATTCACTCGAGATGACCGAGTCAACGAAATCGCGGAATTTTTATTTACTTAACTATGTCAATGTCGCGATACAGCTCATCGTTCTATGTAATTCGATAATCGTTGCTAACGCGTAAGAGATCATAGATCTTTCCAAGAATTTTATTTTTGAATGCTTCTAACGCCTTCTCATTACTGTTATTGAGAATATATTGAATTACTATAGTATAAATATCTCTATTATCAATCCCTCTAGAGTATTTAAGATATATGAGCTATGGAGAAATATACTATTATTGATGCATATTATTATATATACACAATATATTTCCAGATTACCTCTTGTAAATTTCTGAGCTGAATCTTTGATTCAAAAACGAAAATATCAAATTAGAGGAAGACTCCATTTACAATATTTACACGGTGTTAAAGTTAAATTTATCAAAAAAAATGTTTTTGAATCTCTAATTTCTGAACCTATTTAAGAAAAATTACATATAATAATACTTCACATTAAAGAATATTTAAAGACCAAGGCTTAACATGAAATGCGGGCTATTAGAATAAACAGTGTTGGAGAGGGTTCATTGAGAGTGCTTGTAGTGAATATTTTATTTCCGGTGGGTTTTTATTTGGCATCCACAATATAAGAAAATTGACTCCCGCCTTCCATGTATAATATTTTTAATTGTATTTTAAATTAAGAAATCTGTTTTGCAACAGGTAGACGGGAAATACCCCATTTCTTACATAAAAAAATATGTGAGCTTTGATGAAAGCTTTTTACTCTTCACAAAAATTTTACTAAAGTTCATCAATAGAGATTTTTCGGACAAAAATTATGACACCAATGCTTTAACGTGGGCACACTCCAATAGTTGCTGTGGTGAAAAGGAAAAGAATCTACCAATTACTTTCTATGTCTTAAACCGAGCTTACGTTTGAAAGTGAAGGATCATTTATATAAGAATTCTAAGTAAAAGCATTTAGATATAACGTAAGAAAAATTATAGGCTACCTTAATGTGATGCTACACTATAAGAGCTTAGGTTTCGAATATCTAAGCGTAGCCATCAAAATTATCTATTGATTTAACAGTCTCCTACCTATTACAGGTCTGTCACTGTTAAAGCACCAAGTGCCGGTTGGTAGTGCATGATCCATTAGTTAAACTGAATGAATATGGTTTCGGTTATATAACTAATATGGTATTTAAAATAATTTCAAAATATATTGCCATTGTATCTACCCTTGCGGAAAAGGGGTTAGAATATTCCCGAGGTGAAATTCAGTACGCACCACCAGAGACTGTTTGAAGTACAAATAATATTGAATGAGTTTCAATTGCGGTACCCGACCGTTAGTATAAATCTGGTGATATGGGTATTTAAATCAATAGTTTAAGCTATCCTGACCAATTAATGTTGGCTATAACTTATAACCTTAATTGGTACCGGTGAAATTAATTGAAATTTCAATGGGGACGTTTATCGTTGTATTATATTGATACATGTATTAAGAAGACCGTTGTGTTAAACCTTAACAACAACTAATCACGTTAAAAAGTCGTGACTCTTTATATAAGTACAGCTAACTATCTAACGTCTGTGCTGGCGTATGGAGGAAGGATTTTCACTGTAAGACACAAGCTTATTCTTAAGCAATGAATGATAGTGGACATAACTAAAAATTCTTAGTAACATAATGTATAAAAAAATGTTACATCACTTACTAGGTAGGTAAGTAGGTTGTAGTAGCGGCCTTGCATCGAAAGGCCGACTTAAACTCAAATAATGGCGCATTATGGTACCACAGGGATGGTGTTGGTATGAAGAAAGTCTGAAAGATTCTTGATCTTCTTCTAGCTAAAGAAAGGCACTGACACATGAGGTGTAGTACGGTTTCCTCCTTATCCTAAGAGCCACGACCGAAAGACATAGCATGCCTTTCTATTTTGCAGTGGCTCGTCAGCACAGATACCATGATGCTGAGAAGGTTCCCCTTAGACCAAGTCATTCTAGATATCTGACAATAGGGTTTGTCAGCCCAATATTGCTTGGTTATGCTCAAGTATTTTTGTTTAATTGTCAGTTTAACTGTAGCAACTGTAACTCTTAATTATGAGAAGTAAATCACACAGAAATACACTATTAAAGTCTGGTATTCTACACTCAGAAAAAAAAGAACACGATGAGTGAGAAAAGCGTCATAAATTCGATGAATTATTTCATAAAAAACTCTCCAATGACGAGTTTCATAAAATTTGAGAAAACTTTTTCATAAAGTTTCACGATGTGCATAGGTGTGAAATAGTTTCATAAAATTATTGAAATAGTTTCATAAAATTATTGAAATAGTTTCATAAAATTATTGAAATAGTTTCATAAAATTATTGAAATAGTTTCATAAAATTATTGAAATGGTTTCATAAAATTATTGAAATAGTTTCATAAAATTATTGAAATACTTTCGCAAAATTCTTTGAAATAATTTCATAAAAAATATATTATAAAATATTTTTCAAAAAAAATTCACGAAGCGAACATGCGTGAAAGTGTTGCATAGATTAAATGAAATTGTATCATAAAAAATCTTCAGCAAATGTTTATTATTTCAAATGTTTATTAATTTGTTCATTAATTTAATTTGTACATTAATTAATACTTAAATTAGTGCATTAATTCAGCTTTTAGAATGCTGGCCTTTGGGGAGTTTTTAGAATTTTTATACGATATTTCATAAAAATAAATTTCAATAAATTTCCAAAAGTGATTCGATGCTTCCGGATATTTGAGATTAAATATATGGTAGGATTTAAAACAGACATCAAAACAGCGAATACCACGCGCCCAGTTGGAAATAAATATTCATGAAGACACCAAAGAGTTGTGAAAATATAGGACGTGTCTCCTAAAAATAGAAGAAATAAGATTCATTTTCAAACATAACTGTTATTATTATTTATTTTACTAACCTTTAGCAACAACATCGTCGCTTAGCTTTTTTAGAAGCACACTACAATTGGAATCTTTCAAAGTATTTGGCTTAGAAAAGAAGTCGTACAATTTTTTCATTTTCGGCTCAAAGATATCAAGAATATCGTTAGCAGATGAATACAAATGTTTAAAATCTAAATCAATCTGTAAAAAGAAATATTACAAGACAGAATTATATATTTGTATTCCTTTTATATTACTAGTCTGTATCCCATTGGCTTCTTATACTCTGGCCAAAGCTTAAAAATATCTGATAAACTTAAACAATCATTGACAATTTTTTCCAGTCTGCTAGAAGAAGATAGTTGCCATAGCTCATTTAACTCACTTGCATCTACATTCTCGTACCTAAGACGTTTAACGGCATCTGCTGCAACATCTTTAAAACAAGAAATATATATTAAATGGACAACGCCTGATTGGTAAAGTGTATATATATATATAAATTTTAACAACTAAATCTCACCTTCATATATGACTTTTGAGCCATCGTGGCTTTCTGGTGCAGATTGTTTTTTCTCTATATTTTTCAGCGACTGCCTTAAATAACAAAATCTGGAGTAAATTTTTCCTCTTCTGTCGCATCTGTAATATTCCAGCTTCTCCGTAGGAAACATCAAAAGTATCTGTTGCTCAAGTTTATAGCTAATTTTAAGAGTCATGGCACGAGAAGTATTAAAACGAACGAATTTTAAAACATTTTCTCGAAAGTCCAACTGAGTAATGTTATTATTATTATTTTCACGTTCTGCTTCGTCAAAATTTAAATCTGCAATTTCACAATTGCTATCATTTTTTTCTGATAAATGCGACGCAGCAACATTATTCGTTGTTGCAGTAGTAATAGCTGTTGTTGTTATTGTTGCTTTTGTTGTTGTCAGTTTGCGTGGTGATGTAGCCGCAGACTTTTTCTTTTCATTGGCGCCATGCCTTAATAGATGACGCTTATAGCTGAAAGTGCGCCCAAAAACTTGTCCACAATGCAAGCAACGATAATCATCAAATTGCTTTAATTTGTGCTGAATTTTTAAATGTAATAATAATTTCTCCACGTTAATTAATTTATGTTTGCACAAAAAACACTTTTCCATTTTTTAAATTGTTTATTTATAAAAAATTTTACCGATAATAAAACGCACAGAAAACTGCCACTTAACACAACAGCGCATAGAATCAGACTGAGTTTGCTCATCTGCTCTAAATGAGAACGTAATAGGCAATTAAAAAAGGAAAAGAGAAAGAGAAAGAATATGCAAACTTTCAAAATTTCTGTCAAAACAGTGCACAGCAATCAAAATTTTATGAATATTTTCTGAATTCTTTCATAAAATTTAAGAAAAGCTTCATACACAAATCAATTATTATCTTAGAATATATATTTCATAGATTCTTTGAATTTTTTCACATGCACCATGAAAAATTCACGAACATTATTTTATGACAGCCTGTTCACAAAATCTATGAAATTTTTCACACAACAATAATTGGTTTAAGAAAAATTACATATATTCTATGTAGTTTTTCTGAAATTTTATGAAAAATACGATATGAACTTTTATGAAATCTTTTCGTAAAATATCGTGTACAAATTTGGTTCAGTGTATGTCTTAAGTATATTGGCATCTAAATAAATTCTAAATCAAAAATTGTTTTCAACTTTAGAATCACCCATATAAATGTTATTCGGTATATAGTGCTTATATAGAGGTTTCAGGTTTGATTATCTTACCTTGGAAGTTTTAAACTTTCTTAAGTACACGAAAGTATTTCGAGTATAGTTTCTTTTATTTGATATGTTTCATTCCTATTTTTACTTTTTGCCACCATAGGCGGGTAAAGAACAACAAACATATGATTCTATTGAACTATATTAACTAAGAAAAGGCAAAACTTTGAAAACAGGCCCTTTCCATTGAGATCAACTAAGTGCTACTTTATTATTTGATCATTTACGATTTTATTTACTTAAAAAAAGGACTCATACCGTATATATGATCTATGAACAGTTTGCTTTGGGTGTACTTTTATAGGAGGTGACCACTAATCTTTATCAGAAAATATATCCAACAATGTAAAGAAGAACAATTTTGTATCTCAAGATTTGAGTTTATTCTTTTCGTCAAAGAAAAAAGTCGTTGCATAAATGCAAATGAGTCTATTGAAACGTGCAAAAAATATATTTTCTCCTATAGCTCTCCTGTGTTCAAATTTTTTTACACTTTTGTTTTTGCTATGAGAAGAACACGTCTTTCTCAATATGACACGTATATATACATATATATATATTTATATATAATAGCATAATCGAACACGTGCTGTCAATAGTCTCGTCACATATGAAACTAGAAGTCTGGAGCGTGGTATTATCTGCAGTTGCTTGTGCTACGGGGTCAGTAACCCCACTCTATTTGGTATGTGCATTTAGTCGCGTAAGAACTTTAACACAATCCGCTGTTCTAATGTAATTTAAGCATTTTTTTATAAATTAATAAAGTATTTATAAAATTTATTTTTTTATTAATTGTTACCATTATTAATGCAACTTTTCTTATGAATTTTTTTGTAACAATTTTAGTTAATATTATTTACAACATGAGGTTTTTGGCAATAATATGTTGTCCGTACTGTGTAAAAGATAAAGACAGCTCGTATTTCATACACACGTAACCCTTAGATATTATAGGTAAACTAAGAACTTCGTGCTATTATTTTGTGAAATTTTGGAATATTTTTTTAATTTATTATATATAATTATAAACTATTTCATTGCTTTGTGCAATTTGTTTGTTTTTCGACAAAACCAGTATATATGCAAAATACTTATAACATATGTGTATATGTACATATGCATTCCATTCCATAGTGACCGAAAGTTGTTAAAATGATTTCCAAACTAATACCTTAAAGTGTACTTCATTTTATTAAAGGTTATCATACATAGCACGGTTCAAATAAATTGATTGACGCACCAGACTTCGTGGTCAAAATCTAAGGTTCTCCTCTACCACCGAATGCATGAGTTTATTTAGATTTCATTATATATAATATTAACCAGTCAGAACCTCGCAGCTAAATTGTTTGAATTCTTATCTAACCATTAGACCTAACCAGTCTCCGCGAATCTGAGACCAACTGAGTAAATATATACATTAAATCAGTTGAACTGCAGTATGTCAGAGATCTTTTCTAACAATTAGATCTAACCAGGCTCATAGAATATGAGTTAGACTATGTTATACACATTTCATTAATTGAACTGTAACTTATCAGAGATGTGTGTTTTTCTAAGTGGAATTTTAAGTTAGAAATATTTTTTACAAAATGACCTTCTTAGCTCAAATTGTGACTACCCATCTTTCGATAAACGAGTCTTACCCAACGCGAATGTGCAGCCATTGAATCTTTATCATGAAACAGAGAGATTTGCATTTGGTCACCGTGGATACAATAATACGGTTGAAATAAAAAATAAAAAATTGGTTATTAGGTCAACCAGTATTACTGGTTAGCGCAGTCTTTATATGATTATGCAAAATTGTCTAATCTCTTGTTGAAAGTCCAATCTCTTTTATCAAAATTTGTTCTATCTACAGATTAAAAGTACCACATAAATCGTTTTTGCGGTAGATTTTTGTCACAGTTAATGGTCGCCCAAACCATCACAAACAGTGGTACTTGTCTCTTGAATGCCATTTGAATGGTTAAATTTTTATATTATGTTTTTGCTACTTACTTCGGTAACACCATTTGTGGATAAAATTTTTCTTAACAGAGAACACTTAACAATTGGTCATGTTTATTCTAGTACAAGAGCTTTTACGCTAACAAGTCTAAGTTTGTTTTTTATAACAATAGTTTTCTTTTCTTTGGAACATTGGTTGATTGGTTTATTGGTTGGTTGCAGTGATCAGCAGCCAACCTACCTACGCTAAGCTAGAAAGCACAGACTAAATTCAACCTGTCAAATTTAGACAATTTAACAGATCCTTCCTTTTTCTCCGATTAATAGTCTAATAAGCTATCAAAGAAATACTTCTCTAAAAACCTATTTTTTCTGGATTCCAGAGCCGAGCCCTTAGAGAGAAAATGTTTAATGGTTTCTTTTTCCTGCCGATTTCCACAAACTTCTGCAGTGAGGATTATAGGAAATGCGCAGAAAGAACTGCAGTAAGCTTTGCAGTACTGAAATGATCCCTCTTGATGTTTCCAGAATTTTATTTTATATTAGGAAGATCATGTAACCGGGAAAGTCCTGAATGTCTTCCTTTTTTTATTGGCAAGTTGAAGAAAATAGACATATTTGCTTTTGCTAATGGTCTCCAGGACATCATTAACCTATGCCCCGAAGAACATATTTAGGGAAGCACTAATGCGGGCGAAACCGTCTACTTCCTCGTTCTCTCTTATGTTCCTGGTCTCTTTGGAACTTTACTTTATGATTGTTTTGAGTATGTTTACCTATTTTTTTATTTAATTTCATTCAATCTTTTCTTTCCAAATGGAGATAGATTAAAAAATAGATTAAAGTCCCACACTGCAACTTTTAATGCTTTACGTAATGCAATTTCTCTTTGGTACTAATTTCGGCGTAGTCAACGAAAGTAATGAGTGACACGGAGTCGGTAATCCATATAAATCAAGTAACTTAGCTCTGAGCATTTTCAAAAAGTATTCGTAACAAAAATATTCTCTCAGTCTGCAATTGCTTTTATCAATTAGTCTTAACTAGTTAACAACTCTTAAATGATATTTAATATCGTCAGAAAACATCTTCAAGAAATAATTTCAATTAAAACAAAAATTCAATTAATTAAAAATAAATAAAAGATTTTGTTGTTGCAATTTACTACTGTTCAAAACCTATCTATTAATTAATAATTTTAAATTTAAATTCGTTGTAATTTTACAACATTACAGTTACGAAAAAGTCCGTCTGTCTGTCCTTAGGATGGATTATCAATTACATCATTTAAAGTGATTTACTAATATTTGTAGTGTTTTTTGTTATTTCTGAATATATTTATTAATGTTAATTTATAGTAAAAAAAGTATAAATATTTAAAAACTGTTATCTTTTCCTTTCAAGACATATAGATAGTTAGTTTCTTCAATAACATCTACACCGCTTACAGCATCCCTTACTGCCCCACCACCCATTTCATTGTTACCATACATTGCAACCAAATTTGTAAAGACACCTGAACAAAGATCTTTCAATTCAGGATGACCGACTACAACCGCTTCAGCTTTAGCAAGCAAGGACCCCATTCCTGTCGCAACTGGAAAAACTGTACGCAGAACCTAAGAAGATTTATGTTCTAATAATTGTAAAATTTGTGTTTTTGAAAATATTTACCTTTGTTGGATCAATTCTTCCTTTCTCAATCACATCACCATATTCATCATATAAGGCATCGTGACCATAATCAGCGAATCCGTTTTCAGCCAGTGCAACTACGATCGCACCATCAGCTCCAGTATTTTTAGCAATTCTCGTAGAAGCTATACGAAGTGCAAGGTGTACAATTTCCATTCCGAGCTTCTTGAAAAAAAAACATAACATTAGATCCAAAGGTTTATCAATTTGGTAAATTAGTTTTACTTAATATGAACTAAAAAAGTTTATTTAAATAATTTAAAACAATAAACAAATCACCTGATCTTCGTTCAGCCCTTTGAGACCATTTAATGTTGGTATATAGCTTAACAGTTCAGAACCTTCATCAGATACAATGGGTTTCTCAGTACATAAACAAGTCATGTTCAGAGCATTGATCCCATAAATCATTTTGCCATTGTTATTAACTTCACTGGAATCACAAATACGCAAAAATGCCACATCATTGGTAGGTGAACGTAAGCGTCCTTGTAATTTGTCTATCTCAAGAATAGGTTTGGTGAGTATGATTTGTTGCTTTTTGTCACCAATGTGATCTTGAAATTCAACCTTATTACCTTTAGATTTCAGGAGAGATACAATAACCTTCCCTATTTTACACAGATCATTAAACAATATAGCTTCTAAGGTATATAAACGAGCTTTGTGGCCAAAATCAATACCAGCACAAAAAACAGCCACATATATTAGCATTTCCCTCATGGCATTACCGGAGCATGAAGCTCTTACAGCAGATTGTGGCATTGGGTATTGTAAGCGATTGATAGCTAAACGTCGTACAGCTTGGCCACAAATACCCTCAGCAATGCTATCAAAAGGCTGACGTTGTTTGTATGGTAATTTTAAAGCTGGAACTATGCCATCCTTTTCGCCGAATAATATGAATTCATCCTGCATTTGGATTCTGTCACCTTTTACAGAATTTTTATATACCATTGATTTATGACCACTTTCAAATTTCAAGCATTTAGTAAGTTCCAATTTGTCAGTGAGACTATCTCCATATTCGACAATAATTGCACCATTAGATTTAACTTTTGCCAGGGCTTCATATATAAGACTAGCAATACTTTTATCTCCACTAACAGAAATTGTTACCACTTCTGCTATTCCTTTTTTTATAGAAATAGGATGAGATATGGCTTTTAAAATTTGTTTTGCAGTATTAACAGCAAGAATAAAACCACGATGCATTTTAACAGGTTCGACAGCTGTACATAATTTTTTAAGCCCCATTTTTTCTTTAACTTGATCTGCCACTGTAGTTGTAAAAGTTTTATCATCAAGTTTTCCATTAGCACTATTAACCATATTTTGTACCAGTAATTCTCCAGCATTTTGTTTAGCTGCAAGAGCAATGGATTTATTTACAGTGTGGTCACTCGATGTGATTATTGGAAATTTCCCAGGTTTTTTGATTATAACGTTACGACCCCTACGGTCTGAAGTTAACTGAACTGGTTTAGCAAAAATACCAACCTCTTTTGACATTAACTTACGAATTTCAGGAACAAACCGTATATTCTTTACAAAGTGACGTACTATTATGTGACGGTTGATGACGGCTCGAAGATATGAACGATAAAGTGGGAGCATCTGTGAAATTAAATTTTTTGAGTGAGTTCATTTTTTCACAATTATTTGAGTATTAATTAAAATCATTTAGCGTATTTTTTTTTTAGTTTTAAAAAGCAAGCACATATACACATCCGATTGACGTCACGACAGTAAGTTTATAATGGTAAGTAAATGGTATACACTTTACCTACTTATTCTTAGGACTTGATCGAATTTGCTTGAGATTTTGTACAGATTAAGGATAAAACATCGCTTTATAATGGATAATTATCATTACATTTTTTTTGTAAGTAAAGATATAATTAATTTTATATATCAATTAAAATAATCAATTAAATTTTTCCCTAAATTAAGTCAAAAAGTTTTCCCCTACTCCACAAATTAATATTTTATATTAAAAAGTCTATAACGTGTTTTTCAGGGTGAAAATTTAATACTTACCACAGATTAATTTTTTTTTCACCCGAAAAATATGCAACAAAAATTTTCAAAAATACTTATCCTATAGTACCGAGGCTGCCGAACCCAGAGGCAAGGTTAGCAATAGCAATTTATAAATATATGTTAATATAAAATTTTAAATTACTTAATATTATTACTTTTTTTTTTTTTTAAATTTATAATTTCAACATTAATTTTATATATCGGCATTAAATATACTTTAATATATAGGTTAATAATATTTAGTTGCTTATATATATTTTAGTAGCACTTATTACATTTATCACCTATTTATTTGTTTTGTTTAATACATTTTTGACACTAAAAAAATGTATTCACCTTACGATAACTACCAATAATGAGATAAACCTGGAGACCAGACGAAGAATTACTATTGCCAGAAAGCTGTACGAGAAGTGCAGTAAGAATAAAAATATAGTGGTGTCTCCAAAAAGTACCAAAATACTTTTTGGAGATATATATTATAATTTCAACATTAATTTTATATATCGGCATTAAATATACTTTAATATATAGGTTAATAATATTTAGTTGCTTATATATATTTTAGTAGCACTTATTACATTTATCACCTATTTATTTGTTTTGTTTAATACATTTTTGACACTAAAAAAATGTATTCACCTTACGATAACTACCAATAATGAGATAAACCTGGAGACCAGACGAAGAATTACTATTGCCAGAAAGCTGTACGAGAAGTGCAGTAAGAATAAAAATATAGTGGTGTCTCCAAAAAGTACCAAAATACAATAGCAAGAATAACAATAATAAGTCATCCTTTTCTTACTGGTGAATCTGGAAAGGAAATCTGGAAAATAGTACGTAGTACGCTGTTTACGCGGACTTACGTCAATGCTTCATTCTTTTCAACTTTTATTTATATAAAAGTAGAGAATATATATTTTTTGTTTAGAAATAAAAACCGCTAATAGAGAACCCATTACAATAGAAAACAATAAAGGTAAATAGCTAGTACTGCGCTATATACCTCACCAAACCATTAGTTATTGATATTAAGAAGAACGTTACAAGTATATTATAAATCATTCTTTGAGAGCAAATATATCTTAAAAATGCAAAATATTGAAGTTCTTTGGAGGCCTCCATATTCAAGCCTCCATATTTTTTCTTATTGTATGTTCCTGATAATCAATTACAGAACAATTTTCATTGGTATTACACCCCAGTTATATATTTATAAAATTACATAGTTACTTACCTTTATTAGAAATTTCACAGATTATAAATTAGTTTAAATATTTGTACAATTTTCTATAAATGAGAACTAATTAAATATCTTAAAAGCACTGCAAACTGAAAATATTTCGTGTGACAATACGAACAATCTCGAATTTTATTCATAAATTTTTTTCCTATTTTGACATTACACCAAAGAATACTAGATTAGACAAAAAAACCAGTACCTAAAATTTTACTAAGTCAAAAGGAAATATGTTCATACGATAGCAAAGATTTTCATTTAATCTTAGAAATAAAGAAAAATTTTTTTAACGTGACAATGACTATCTATGTAACATAGCCCTAATTTAATCCCTTATCTGAAGCCTAACTTAAAATTATAGATCAATGTCTCATCGTACTGAAAATAAACTCTACAAAAACGTCTAGAGTATCTATCGTACACACATTTATTGTTAACCCTCTTCTTATATCGTTATTATCAGACAGTGATAAAAAATCATAAAATCAGTTATAATACCCTTGAAGATTGTCAACTAGCTAACTAATACAAATTAAAGCTGTAAGAACAATATTACACAGAATCGGCAGGTGTTGATTTATTTTTTAAAAATGGTATTTATTAAGAACATTTCCGATTATAAAACCAATGACTAACCTGAATTCAGAAATGTTTCAACAAAAAACTCCTCGTTTCTCTTGTTGGATTTAATAAGTTATCTAAACCCTTACTTGTTCTCCAAGACTTGCTCGAACAGTATATAGTCGATGTATTAATATGCTGATGCAGGCTACTTCGCAAAAAAGGTTCGGGTCCCCTTGAAATTTAGCTCTAATAATTTCTTTTATTTTTTATCATTGGCAACGTAACGAAATTACTTCAAGCTTCCCCCTTTCTTTACACAACTACTTTTTTGATTACTTTTGGTTCGCCACATATCACAGAAACAGGTACAATAAAGAAGGTTAGTGCATCCACTTTTGTAAGCCTATCAAGGGCACACCTCATGACCTGCTATATACACAAGTGTTACTATATAAGTAAAGTCAGATATGAGATTTCTACAATTTCCTACGACGTTGGTTTTGATGGTTCCGGATGATAGAGACTATCCGAATATATAATAATGCTAAAAGCATTTTATCTATTTTTAATTAGTCTATAGTACAAAATTTACTTTTGCTTGAAAAATTTTAAAAAAGGTTTTCCGTTGGAACGACCTAATTAGTTAGGGTTCTTTAAGCAACAGCACTTTTTGGTTTCCTTACAAGGTTTGATCAATTGAAGAACTAAACAGACGCATTGGTGGACCATATGAAATCCGTTCATTTTGTTAAATTCTTTTGGGAATTGCTATTTTGAATTGCAAGAGATTGAAAAGTGAAGAACTGGATGTCTTTGACTGTTTTTAGATTTTAAAGATATTATTTAAACCAGCGTTATAGCAATCGCCTATTTTTGTTTTTTGTTACAGAGTTCTATCAAATTTTAGGACGCCATAGAGCCATGCTAGACGTATTCTGTTGTATCTCCTGTAGTACATGTCTACCGGTGCTCGAAGAAGAAACTCTAGAATACCTGTGGTGTTTCCAGGTTTCTCCGAAACCAGACTTAAGCTTTTAGGCGTTCCATTCTTAAATACATTCAGTGATATTTCTATCATTTATATTGGCCTGATACTTATACTTATCAGTATGTGCAAGTACCTGCGTTCTAAAATATTCATCCTTCTACCAACAAATACTCAGAATGTAAAATCAAAACGACTTCTTTAGCTAATCAAGGTACTGATTAATCCATTAAATTAAAAATTTACAAAAATAAAATAGTTTGCAGTAGAGACTACAGCTCCCAATGGAGAATAGCACCCCGACGATAAAAAATCTTTTGTGCTAATAGCCGATTCTAACTAAGCAAAATATATACAACCTTCTATATGAAGACCAGTTTCCTTATCTATTTCTAATAAAAAAGTGGATAGTAATGAGGATATTTTCAAATCTAAAAATATTTTTCAATTTTAATCAAATGATTAAAATTTCAAGCAATTACTTAAAAAAAATATGTTGTTTTTTCTGCTAAAATATTAATTGTAAAAAATTATTAAATGTTTTTATTATAAACCTCAAGTAAAACTTGAAGTGGAGTCGACATATGATTGATTTTAAATCTTGATTAAAATCACTCCCTTAATGTGTTTGCAGTTTTAATGTTAATTAATAAAAAAATAATATTGATCAAAATTATTTTTATTTCTTAAATTCTTACTTAACAAAGCAATTGCAGTACTTTTGTAAGTTCCATCAGGGCATGTTCAAATTCAAAGTAAATTTGCTAGTCCTTATTAGGACTTATTACTATTTGTTGAGTGGAGTTAGTACAATTTATCTTGACGCTAAGAGTCGCAAAATAACACAATCCAAATTCTTCAAAATATACTCCATCATACATAATGCAGGACTACTCGTTTGTATAGCTTACTTGGTAACCAGACCCACAGAATTATTATTATATGGTGTAACCAATCTCGCACAATTACTTTTCACCGCATCTGGGATACTGAGTATTATATTTGTTCTGTACACGATCTTTCGGCGATGTTACCGGGAACGAGAAACGATTAAAATATTTAATAATTTATTTAAATTGAAACTTCATTCTCCGTTTGCTTCACTTCCAATCAATTTACATATAAAAGGCCTACACAGATTGTTCTATATAAAAATTTCTTTTCAAATCTTAACAATAATCTTAGCAATATCAGTCTTGTGCAAATCCGGTACATATAACTTTAAAACTATTTGTGAGATATGTGTTTTATATAATTTCCAAAACATACTTTGGTCATCTTTATTCAATTTTCTATCTTGCCTTTTTTATATAACGATTTACTTTGAAGCCATAAATATACGTCTTAACGAGATAATTAATCAATCAATTAATCAAACCACTAACTTAAAGCACCAATCGAGAGAAATTGAAAACTTGTCGATTGATCACAATCGTCTTTATAATATGGTACAGCATCTCACACATCTTTACAGAGTTGAGTTACTTTTCGCGATTATCACCTATTTTACTACCTTCATGATGGCTTCACACGCATTAGTATTCACTTATAGCGGAAAATATATTCTCAATGCTGCGATATTTTCCAGTATATTTTCATCGCTTGTGGCTTCTTTCATAGATACAAACTTAATACAAACTCAATGTCAATCAACTAACGATGCCTGCAATCAATCTATTAAAATTTTAGGACTCATCACAGAACATCAGAATTGCATGGATCCAGGTTTTAATACTACAGTAAGTAATCATTCTCTACAGCATATACATTAAGACCGAAAAGTTTTCGGAAATTCTCATTTAAAATTCGCGCGCTGTATATTTTTCGATATTTTAAGTTTATGTAGTTTGGCAGCACTGTCCTTAATTACTATGCCAAAAATGAGCGCGATCTGTCAGACAGTTCGTTTACGGCAGCTGTTGAAACCAGTTCACCTCAGTAGGGCGTTGCGAAAAAAACAATGGAAAAAAATATTGAACAAAGAGTTTGCATCAAATTTTGTGTTTCGAACGAAATTTCGTGTGCAGAATCGTTGCGAATGCTACAAAAGGCTTATGGGGAATCAGTTTTATCGAAAACTCAAGTTTATGAGTGGTACAAAGCCTTCCAGGACGGTCGTACGACCGTCGAAGACATTTCGCAACGCACTACTGAGGTGAACTGGTTTCAACAGCTGCCGTAAACGAACTGTCTGACAGATCGAGCTCATTTTTGGCATAGTAATTAAGGACAGTGCTGCCAAACTACATAAACTTAAAATATCGAAAAATATACAGCGCGCGAATTTTAAATGAGAATTTCCGAAAACTTTTCAGTCTTAATGTACCTACATAATGAACACTATAAATACTTTCTCCACTTGCAGTGTGAGTCCTTCGCTTTACAGCTTTCTTGCCGAAAATTGTCAATAAAGATGTTTGGAACGATTTATCTTAACTGGCAGCAGATTTTCCTTATTGCAGCACAAATCATCTTTTATGTAGTAGTTATGCTTCAAATCGATTACAAGAGTTTATAAATATTTAATAAATTATATTTAAATCATAATATGTTTATTAACAACTGTGTCATAGTCGGCCAATCTGACTGGAAATCTATTGAAAAAGCTGACCCTATAACTTTTTTCTTATCAAATTTTTGGAATTTGAAAGCTCACTAATATATCATCTACACTCTGCCAAGCAGTAATAAGGCATATAGTACATATGAATGTAGAACATTTATATGCAATTGAAACTGTACTGAGTATCTGAAAAATACGAAAGAAAAATATTAATGTCGTACTTGCTTCATGTGAAATTTCCCACAACATTAATTTTATGTTCGGGTAAAATATTTACACTGGAACCCATCCACCAATTAGTTCTCAGCAGATCAAGTAAAGTAACAATTTTTAGTAAAAATTTTGACATAGTTCCATTAACAAGTGATTGAATTAATCAAACACTTATCAAATATCTTGATACCCTTTATATGGAATAAATTTTTCTATATCTTTAAAAGGGACTTAGACTTCTGCCAATAGATTTTTTTCAATACAGCTAAATTTCAACATCTTCACGAGTGATTTGATTAATCCAACACTTATCAAATATCTTGACACCCTTTATACGGAACAAATTTTTCTATAGCCTTAAAATAGACTTCGACTTTCACAGGTAGATTTTTTCAATTTGGCCAAATTTCATTGTCTTCACGAGCGATTTGATTATGTGGAAGTCTTTATCAGAGACTTTAATTCTATAATATTAGAATTTTTATTTTAGAATATTAAAGAGTCGCCGATGGACAGATCTAAAGAACACAATAAAAGGCGAAAAACTTCAAAGTTCAATTAATGCAATGGTTTATCTGATTGCTATCCGTTCATCTTGATATATCCATATTTTATCCGTTTTACATGTAGAAATTGTTTTATTTTATTTTATTTTATTTTACTTCATTTTATTCTATTTTTTTTTTTCATATTACATTATATGTATTACCTCATTTTATTTTATTTTGTTATATTTTATTTTATATTATTTGATTAACTTT